CTATGAATTAATCCAGTACTCTTCAGAGTGCTCTCCACTTTAGCTTTCACTCTCCAAGATCTGGGGATCAGAATTAAAGACAATTTAAAAAGTAACTTAATTATATATATTTACTATTTTGGGTATCATAATCCAACCATTTCACTTGATATTCAAATGTCAACATTAATTCAGAAATAGTCACCACACAACAATTTAAGAGCACTACGGCTGACTGACCCTGAAAATCATACACTACTGCAATTTCAAAACACAATATATGTCCGCCTCACTCAAGAAAGTCTCTGAGTGTAAGATGGTAGAGAGGAGGCGCGGAGGGCTAGGCAGACACTCCAGTCCCCACCCGGCCTGGGCTAGGCCTAATCTTGGCTGCTGGAACCTCTTTGGTGTAGCGAGGTCTCGGTCTCTCGGTCTCTCTCTCTCTCTCTCATGTACAGTTCTATTGGTATTTAAGGCGGAACCGGGAGTTAACCTCTTCCTACCAGGAGATAGCCTTTGGCTATCTTCCTACTACACCTAGATAGCGGCTCGTTTGATGAAAACACCACAGCCACCCGTCTGCAATTATCAACTTAGCAGAGAATAAGGTCACCTGATGCGACCTGATCTCTACTCCACCTGTGAACAATTAACAACTGAAAGGTGTCACTTTTGAATTGCTAAGTCCGACAGTCTGGCGCCGCCAATGTCCTGTGAGACTGACTTTCGTTGTATGTGAAATATTAAATGCAGTCATTTATGGTGGGAGGGAGCCGGTCGGCCGAGCGGACAGCACGCTGGACTTGTGATCCTGTGGTCCTGGGTGCGATCCCAGGCGCCGGCGAGAAACAATGGGAACAGTTTCTTTCACCCTATGCCCCTGTTACCTAGCAGTAAAATAGGTACCTGGGTGTTAGTCAGCTGTCACTAGCTGCTTCCTGGGGGTGGAGGCCTGGTCGAGGACCGGGCCGCGGGGACACTAAAAAGCCCGAAACCATCTCAAGATAACCTCAAGATAAGATGGTGTTACAGCTCTGAATACTATCATTTCAGGAGGCTGGGCAGCACAAGTTGCTTGCAACCTCTTGGTTTAAAGCATCTTGTTATCCAGCCTGGCATTTTTCTTGCAGTTGTGACAGCTACTTTAGCGGGTTCTCAGAGTAATATCTTAAGGCATGATAACGCCCGGGTCCTTAAAGTTCTCCTCCTCCACTCCCGCAGGTTCCAAGGCACAACAACTGTCTTAATTTGTTTTTTGTTTTCTTCAGCACACGAGTTAAAACTTTTCTTCATTAATCATGTAGGTTTCTGCAGGCCAACTTTGTGGAACGGACACAGCAGCGAAATAGGAAAACACAACAGCAGGTAAACAATAATACAACAGCAGGTAAACAATAATACAACAGCAGGTAAACAAAAATACAACAGCAGGTAAACAAAAATACAACAGCAGGTAAACAAAAATACAACAGCAGGTAAACAATAATACAACAGCAGGTAAACAAAAATACAACAGCAGGTAAACAAAAATACAACAGCAGGTAAACAAAAACAACAACAGGTAAACAAAATACAACAGCAGGTAAACAAAAATACAACAGCAGGTAAACAAAAATACAACAGCAGGTAAACAAAAATACAACAGAAGGTAAACAAAAATACAACAGAAGGTAAACAAAAATACAACAGCAGGTAAACAATAATACAACAGCAGGTAAACAAAAATACAACAGCAGGTAAACAATAATACAACAGCAGGTAAACAAAAATACAACAGCAGGTAAACAAAAATACAACAGAAGGTAAACAAAAATACAACAGCAGGTAAACAAAAATACAACAGAAGGTAAACAAAAATACAACAGCAGGTAAACAAAAATACAACAGAAGGTAAACAAAAATACAACAGCAGGTAAACAAAAATACAACAACAGGTAAACAAAAATACAACAGCAGGTAAACAAAAATACAACAGAAGGTAAACAAAAATACAACAGCAGGTAAACAAAAATACAACAGCAGGTAAACAAAAATACAACAACAGGTAAACAAAAATACAACAGGAGGTAAACAGGAGGTAAACAAAAATACAACAGAAGGTAAACAAAAATACAACAGCAGGTAAACAAAAATACAACAACAGGTAAACAAAAATACAACAACAGGTAAACAAAAATACAACAGCAGGTAAACAAAAATACAACAGCAGGTAAACAAAAATACAACAGCAGGTAAGCAGGATACAGCAATTCTACTCTCCAAGCTTGACCCAAACTTGTGATTAACGTGATCCAACAGGCTGTTGCTGGAGGCGGTCCGCAGGCCCACATGTCAACTGGAACCCGACTGGACCGCCACCTCTTGCAGGAACGTGTTTAACTGTTTTGAAATTGAAAGAAAGGCAATACAAAGGATCTGGGTGTACTCATGTCGGAAGACCTTATCTTTAAAGAACACAATAAAGTAGCCGTCACAACTGCAAGAAAAATGACAGGTTGGATAACAAGAACCTTGATAAACACCTCCAAACTACACCTGATCATCCGGGCTGCGTGTCATACGACAGACTGCAAGCAGCGATGTCTAACAGCCTGGTTGATCAGACCACCAACTAGGAGACCTCCTCAGAGTTCAAGCATCAGAGACATTGATCTCCAGAACCAACAACAGGTAGCCAAGGTGCGTCTGTAGGTGGTAGATCAAGATATCTTGAGGTTATCTTGAGGTTATCTTGAGTTGATTTCGGGGCTTTAGTGTCCCCGCGGCCCGGTCCTCGACCAGGCCTCCACCCCCAGGAAGCAGCGCATGACAGCTGACTAACTCCCAGGTACCTATTTTACTGCTAGGTAACAGGGGCATAGGGTGAAAGAAACTCTGCCCATCGTTTCCCGCCGGCGCCCGGAATCGAACCCGGGACCACAGGATCACGTGCCCAGCATGCTGTGCGCTCGGCCGGCCGGCCCCCCAGAGAAACCAGGCGGAGGAGCGTGGCACAGTTGCAAGAGCCAGTGGTGGAGGAGCGTGGCACTGTTGCAAGAGCCAGTGGTGGAGGAGCGTGGCACTGTTGCAAGAGCCAGTGGTGGAGGAGCGTGGCACTGTTGCAAGAGCCAGTGGTGGAGGAGCGTGGCACTGTTACAAGAGCCAGTGGTGGAGGAGCGTGGCACTGTTGCAAGAGCCAGTGGTGGAGGAGCGTGGCACTGTTACAGGAGCCAGTGGTGGAGGAGCGTGGCACTGTTACAGGAGCCAGTGGTGGAGGAGCGTGGCACTGTTACAGGAGCCAGTGGTGGAGGAGCGTGGCACTGTTACAGGAGCCAGTGGTGGAGGAGCGTGGCACTGTTACAAGAGCCAGTGGTGGAGGAGCGTGGCACTGTTACAAGAGCCAGTAGTGGAGGAGCGTGGCACTGTTACAAGAGCCAGTGGTGGAGGAGCGTGGCACTGTTGCAAGAGCCAGTGGTGGAGGAGCGTGGCACTGTTGCAAGAGCCAGTGGTGGCGGAGCGTGGCACTGTTACAGGAGCCAGTGGTGGAGGAGCGTGGCACTGTTGCAAGAGCCAGTGGTGGAGGAGCGTGGCACTGTTACAAGAGCCAGTGGTGGAGGAGCGTGGCACTGTTGCAAGAGCCAGTGGTGGAGGAGCGTGGCACTGTTGCAAGAGCCAGTGGTGGCGGAGCGTGGCACTGTTACAGGAGCCAATGGTGGAGGAGCGTGGCACTGTTGCAAGAGCCAGTGGTGGAGGAGCGTGGCATTGTTACAAGAGCCAGTGGTGGAGGAGCGTGGCACTGTTACAAGAGCCAGTGGTGGAGGAGCGTGGCACTGTTGCAAGAGCCAGTGGTGGAGGAGCGTGGCACTGTTACAGGAGCCAGTGGTGGAGGAGCGTGGCACTGTTACAGGAGCCAGTGGTGGAGGAGCGTGGCACTGTTGCAAGAGCCAGTGGTGGAGGAGCGTGGCACTGTTACAGGAGCCAGTGGTGGAGGAGCGTGGCACTGTTACAGGAGCCAGTGGTGGAGGAGCGTGGCACTGTTGCAAGAGCCAGTGGTGGAGGAGCGTGGCACTGTTACAGGAGCCAGTGGTGGAGGAGCGTGGCACTGTTACAAGAGCCAGTGGTGGCGGAGCGTGGCACTGTTACAGGAGCCAGTGGTGGAGGAGCGTGGCACTATTGCAAGAGCCAGTGGTGGAGGAGCGTGGCACTGTTACAAGAGCCAGTGGTGGAGGAGCGTGGCACTGTTACAAGAGCCAGTGGTGGAGGAGCGTGGCACTGTTACAAGAGCCAGTGGTGGAGGAGCGTGGCACTGTTACAGGAGCCAGTGGTGGAGGAGCATGGCACTGTTGCAAGAGCCAGTGAGGGAGCGTGGCACTGTTACAAGAGCCAGTGGTGGAGGAGCGTGGCACTGTTACAGGAGCCAGTGGTGGAGGAGCATGGCACTGTTGCAAGAGCCAGTGAGGGAGCGTGGCACTGTTACAAGAGCCAGTGGTGGAGGAGCGTGGCACTGTTGCAAGAGCCAGTGGTGGAGGAGCGTGGCACTGTTACAAGAGCCAGTGAGGGAGCGTGGCACTGTTGCAAGAGCCAGTGGTGGAGGAGCGTGGCACTGTTACAGGAGCCAGTGGTGGAGGAGCGTGGCACTGTTACAAGAGCCAGTGGTGGAGGAGCGTGGCACTGTTACAAGAGCCAGTGGTGGAGGAGCGTGGCACTGTTACAGGAGCCAGTGGTGGAGGAGCGTGGCACTGTTACAAGAGCCAGTGAGGGAGGAGCGTGGCACTGTTACAAGAGCCAGTGGTGGAGGAGCGTGGCACTGTTACAAGAGCCAGTGGTGGAGGAGCATGGCACTGTTGCAAGAGCCAGTGAGGGAGCGTGGCACTGTTACAAGAGCCAGTGGTGGAGGAGCGTGGCACTGTTACAGGAGCCAGTGGTGGAGGAGCATGGCACTGTTACAAGAGCCAGTGAGGGAGCGTGGCACTGTTACAAGAGCCAGTGGTGGAGGAGCGTGGCACTGTTACAAGAGCCAGTGAGGGAGGAGCGTGGCACTGTTACAAGAGCCAGTGGTGGAGGAGCGTGGCACTGTTACAAGAGCCAGTGAGGGAGGAGCGTGGCACTGTTACAAGAGCCAGTGAGGGAGCGTGGGTGATGGGGCACACTGCTAAATCCCCCAATCTCCAGAGTGCCTCCATGGAGTGGAAAATCCCCCATCCCGGGTAAGGTACCACAATGGCAGGTGGTGATGGCACAATGGCAGGTGGTGATGGCACGATGGCAGGTGGTGATGGCACGATGGCAGGTGGTGATGGCACGATGGCAGGTGGTGATGGCACGATGGCAGGTGGTGATGGCACGACGGCAGGTGGTGATGGCACGACGGCAGGTGGTGATGGCACGATGGCAGGTGGTGATGGCACGATGGCAGGTGGTGATGGCACGATGGCAGGTGGTGATGGCACTATGGCAGGTGGTGATGACACTATGGCAGGTGGTGATGACAATATGGCAGGTGGTGATGACACTATGGCAGGTGGTGATGGCACTATGGCAGGTGGTGATGGCACAATGGCAGGTGATGGCACAAGGGCAGGTGATGGCACTATGGCAGGTGGTGATGGCACTATGGCAGGTGGTGATGGCACAAGGGCAGGTGGTGATGGCACTATGGCAGGTGGTGATGGCACTATGGCAGGTGGTGATGGCACTATGGCAGGTTGTGATGGCACTATGGCAGGTGGTGATGGCACGATGGCAGGTGATGATGGCACGATGGCAGGTGGTGATGGCACGATGGCAGGTGGTGATGGCACGATGGCAGGTGGTGATGGCACGATGGCAGGTGATGATGGCACGATGGCAGGTGGTGATGGCACGATGGCAGGTGGTGATGGCACGATGGCACGTGGTGATGGCACAACGGCAGGTGATGGCACTATGGCAGGTGGTGATGGCACTATGGCAGGTGGTGATGGCACTATGGCAGGTGATGATGGCACGATGGCAGGTGATGATGGCACGATGGCAGGTGGTGATGGCACTATGGCAGGTGGTGATGGCACTATGGCAGGTGGTGATGGCACTATGGCAGGTGGTGATGGCACTATGACAGGTGGTGATGGCACGATGGCAGGTGGTGATGGCACGATGGCAGGTGGTGATGGCACTATGGCAGGTGGTGATGGCACTATGGCAGGTGGTGATGGCACGATGGCAGGTGATGATGGCACGATGGCAGGTGGTGATGGCACTATGGCAGGTGGTGATGGCACTATGGCAGGTGGTGATGGCACGATGGCAGGTGGTGATGGCACTTTATGACCACCACAAGCAAGTCACTTCGTGGCAAACATAATATTTATCCTCACCTTATTTGATACCTGTGTCCTCACTCTAGTCCCCGTGTGTCCTCACTCTAGTCCCCGTGTGTCCCTCACTCTAGCCCCGTGTGTCCCTCACTCTAGTCCCCGTGTGTCCCTCACTCTAGTCCCCGTGTGTCCCCTCACTCTAGTCCCCGTGTGTCCCTCACTCTAGTCCCGTGTGTCCCTCACTCTAGTCCCCGTGTGTCCCTCACTCTAGCCCCGTGTCCCTCACTCTAGTCCCCGTGTGTCCCCGTGTGTCACTCTAGTCCCCGTGTGTCCTCACTCTAGTCCCCGTGTGTCCCCACTCTAGTCCCCGTGTGTCCCTCACTCTAGTCCCCGTGTGTCCCTCACTCTAGTCCCCGTGTGTCCCTCACTCTAGTCCCCGTGTGTCCCTCACTCTAGTCCCCGTGTGTCCTCACTCTAGTCCCCGTGTGTCCCTCACTCTAGTCCCCGTGTGTCCCTCACTCTAGTCCCCGTGTGTCCCTCACTCTAGTCCCCGTGTGTCCCTCACTCTAGTCCCCGTGTGTCCCTCACTCTAGTCCCCGTGTGTCCCTCACTCTAGTCCCCGTGTGTCCCTCACTCTAGTCCCCGTGTGTCCCTCACTCTAGTCCCCGTGTGTCCCTCACTCTAGTCCCCGTGTGTCCTCACTCTAGTCCCCGTGTGTCCCCACTCTAGTCCCCGTGTGTCCTCACTCTAGTCCCCGTGTGTCCCTCACTCTAGTCCCCGTGTGTCCTCACTCTAGTCCCCGTGGTGTCCTCACTCTAGTCCCCGTGTGTCCTCACTCTAGTCCCCGTGTGTCCTCACTCTAGTCCCCGTGTGTCCTCACTCTAGTCCCCGTGTGTCCTCACTCTAGTCCCCGTGTGTCCTCACTCTAGTCCCGTGTGTCCTCACTCTAATCCCCGTGTCCTCACTCTAATCCCGTGTCCTCACTCTAATCCCGTGTCCTCACTCTAATCCCGTGCCCCTCACTCTAATCCCCGTGTCCTCACTCTAATCCCCGTGTCCTCACTCTAATCCCCGTGTCCTCACTCTAATCCCCGTGTCCTCACTCTAATCCCGTGTCCTCACTCTAATCCCGTTGTCCTCACTCTAATCCCGTGCCCCTCACTCTAATCCCGTGTCCTCACTCTAATCCCCGTGTCCCTCACTCTAATCCCCGTGTCCCTCACTCTAATCCCCGTGTCCCTCACTCTAATCCCCGTGTCCTCACTCTAATCCTCACCTCCCACGGGTGAACACTCCACTGGACTTGCAGACAATTCCCACGCTAAAACATTCCTGTAAAATCCACCTGGCTGATACCTGGTTGATACCTGGTTGATGGAGTTCTGGGAGTTGTTCTACTCCCCAAGCCCGGCCCGAGGCCAGGCTTGACTTGTGAGAGTTTGGTCCACCAGGCTGTTGCTTGGAGCGGCCCGCAGGCCAGGCCTTGACTTGTGAGAGCTTGGTCCACCAGGCTGTTGCTTGGAGCGGCCCGCAGGCCAGGCCTGACTTGTGAGAGCTTGGTCCACCAGGCTGTTGCTTGGAGCGGCCCGCAGGCCAGGCTTGACTTGTGAGAGCTTGGTCCACCAGGCTGTTGCTTGGAGCGGCCCGCAGGCCAGGCTTGACTTGTGAGAGCTTGGTCCAACAGGCTATATCCACGCCTGTGGTTGGGCGTTTCTCTGAAGCCACATCTCATCAACGGTTTGCAAGCAGCGCTTACAAACAGTCTGGCTGATCAGAGCGTCAACCTACACGTGGATACAATAGATAGCTAGTAAAATATACAATAGTCAGGCCTGCTCAAGGCCTCAGGCCGGCCTTGGAGAGTTGAAGAACTCTCAAAACCCTCCACAGGTACAGTCCAGGTACTCACCAGACAGGCATACAGACACACAACAGACAGGCACATAGACACACAACGGACAAGCACACAGACACACAACAGACAGGCATACAGACAACAGACAGGCAAACAGATACAACAGACAGGCATACAGACAACAGACAGGCATACAGATACAACAGACAAGCACAAACACACAACAGACAAGCACACAGACACACAACAGACAGGCATACAGACAACAGACAGGCATACAGACAACAGACAGGCAAACAGATACAACAGACAGGCATACAGACAACAGACAGGCATACAGATACAACAGACACACAACAGACAAGCACACGGACACACAACAGACAGGCATACAGACAACAGACAGGCATAGACAACAGACAGGTATACAGACAACAGACAAGCACACAGACACACAACAGACAGGCATACAGACAACAGACAAGCACAGACACAACAGACAAGCACACAGACACACAACAGACAGGCATACAGACAACAGACAAGCACAAACACACAACAGACAAGCACAGACACAACAGACAAGCACAGACACAACAGACAAGCACAGACACAACAGACAAGCACAAACACAACAGACAAGCACAGACACAACAGACAAGCACAGACACACAACAGACAAGCACACAACACACAACAGACAAGCACAGACACAAACAGAGACAAGCACAGGCACACACAACAGACAAGCACAGACACAACAGACAAGACAAACAGACAACAGACAAGCACACAGACACACAACAGACAGGCATACAGACAACAGACAAGCACAAACACACAACAGACAAGCACAGACACAACAGACAAGCACAGACACAACAGACAAGCACAGACACAACAGACAAGCACAGACACAACAGACAAGCACAGACACAACAGACAAGCACAGACACAACAGACAAGCACAAACACACAACAGACAAGCACAGACACAACAGACAAGCACAGACACACAACAGACAAGCACAGACACAACAGACAAGCACAGACACAACAGACAAGCACACAGACACACAACAGACAGGCATACAGACAACAGACAAGCACAAACACACAACAGACAAGCACAGACACAACAGACAAGCACACAGACACACAACAGACAGGCATACAGACACACAACAGACAGGCATACAGACAACAGACAAGCACACAAACACACAACAGACAGGCATACAGACAACAGACAAGCACAAACACACAACAGACAGGCATACAGACAACAGACAAGCACAAACACACAACAGACAAGCACACAGACACAACAGACAAGCACACAGACACAACAGACAAGCACACAAACAGGCAGACCCATGACTACCACAACACAAAACCCAGCAATAACAAAGCACTAAGAATTAATGAACAACAATTTACTGCAACACCGACCCAACACTCCCTCATAATATCAACAAGAGCGCCAGGTATAACACCAACATATTAGCACAATAACCCGCTACTTGCACCAGCTCCCAACAGATGGTTAATGGACACTAAACCTGCTTAGTGTAATACATGATTGTGGTGGCAGTGAGAGGATTATTTTGGGAGGCACGAGGTGAATGGAACCCAGCGAGATCAGGGTAATCCCAACCATGTCCCATGTTTGTGGGATTTACTTCGTTGCTCGGTCGATAGAGTTTCGGCCTCATAGACGTGGGGTTCAGGGTTCGAGTCTCCTAGCGCTCAGGTTGAATGGACTACAAGCAGCTGTGTTCCTCTCAATTTCATTGCTGGTCCTTTGCTCTATTTCTTCTGGATTTTCATATGATTATTGCAGCTTGATTGCAATTGTTGCTTTGTTTCTACAAGCGCTTCTTTGTCGCTCAAGAGAATAAGTGGAACATTTGAGACGTTCTGTGATCTGTGTTCTTCGCCTGTGAGAAGACGCTCTGTTCACGTTCATGTTCTAATTTACACATTCTTTTTCACTATTTTTTGTTCTTAGTGTTATGTATGTAAGCAACATAGATTTGTAATTAATGAGTTTCTGATCAGTTCATCATTGTGAAAATGAGATCTGAGGTCTTATCTTATCTACTACTTTTAAGGAAATGAAAAAACTACTTTTTACTTAAAAAAAAATTAAAAACTACTTTTTAAGGGTTTAAGGCAAATCTGTCAGATATTTGTATATCTCTTTTGTACACGACTGTTGGTGTAAACTGTTTCTTCGGATTCTCTCTCTCTCTCAAGATATCCTTAAGAAGATATACCTCAAGAAGATAACCTCATAACTGTTTTGGCTACATTTTTCCAGGCGAAATGTCGTATGTTGAAGTCCCCAACCTTGAGGTTATCTTGAGATGATTTCGGGGCTTAGCGTCCCCACGGCCCGGTCCTCGACCAGGCCTCCTTTTTGTTACACATCCCCAAGAAGCAGCCCGTAGCGACTGGCTAAACTCCCAGGTACCTATTTACTGCTAGGTAACAGGAGCATCAGGTGAAAGAAGCTCCCCCCCATTTGTTTCCGCCTCCACCGGGGCTCGAACTCGGAACCTCGGGACTACGAGTCCCGAGCGCTGTCCATTCAGCGGTCGGATTTTCCCAATCAAGATGATGTCTGGGGCTGGGTTTGAGAGCTTTTCAAAGCAGTATTTTATTTCCATAAGTTAGTCTAAAAAAAATGCTGAGGATTCCCTGTGATGTCATATATATATATATATATATATATATATATATATATATATATATATATATATATATTATATATATATATATATAATATACAATAAACAATAAACATTTCAGAATTTCTATTTTAATTATCAGCACTTCCACCATATCACTGTGGTGTTTAGCAGCTCAAGTGTAGATAAAAGTATCTTTTTAATATACAGTCTGACACCCCCCCCCCTCCCTGTAAGCTGTGTTTCCTGCCATATCTGAATTTTTTTTTGTTCTGGTATCCATGTTTCACTGTCTTTGTTGTACTCTGAGAGGCTTCAGTCAAAGCTGGATACACACCTTATATGCCTCATTGAGGAGGCCAGTTATCAAGTGAACATCTACTCACTCACTCAGCTCTTTCTCATATTAATCATTCCTGTGATTAATGTAATATATTCATCGATATTCCTCAGCCCT